TTCCTGTATCTACCTAGGTCAGTTGTCACCGTGTTTTTCCTGTATGTTTCCTGTATCTACATAGGTTAGTTGTCACCGTGTATTTCTTGTATCTACCTAGTTTAGTTGTCACCGTGTATTTCTTGTATCTACCTAGGTTAGTTGTCATCGTGTATTTCTTGTATCTGCCTAGGTTAGTCGTCGACGTGTATTTCATGTATCTACCTAGGTCAGTTGTCACCGTGTATTTCATGTATCTACCTAAGTCGGTTATCACTGTATTCCCTGTATATACCTGGTTCAGTTGTCAATTTTCTGCTATCTTTATTTACCTAGTCATTCTAACGATAATGTGTGTGTTATACGATTCGTTATAAGAAGCTAATGTTAAGTGTGTCAGCGACCAGTATCCTGGTCAACGTTTAACAGACGTTTGTAATTGATGTGACGTTGCTGACAACATATATATAATCTATTAAAAGCACTGAGCTCTAGCTAGCTTATAAACGACTACATGTAGAGTATGTTAAATCACTAGCACGGGATTTTACGCATTAACATACATTATTATTTAAATACTGAGAAAACCTATTCCGGATTGTTGGATTTCGGCGTCAAATTATGTTAGATATTAAACAGATCTTTTTAAAACCACATACATTCATAGGCAAATGTATTCCTCCCATAAATGTCACATGTTGGTTATCGTCATTGACGCTTTCATAGCTGTGTGTCTCGGTATGTATTTTCATTATCTGTTTCTTTTCTCTATTTCAGGAAAACATTATGTTCATTCCGTATTTATTATAATTATTATATTTTTAAGCAATAATTAAATTATGTTCAGTCCACTACGACATTTTTTTGTACATTAATTTGAAAAATAAACTTGATCATTTTTACATCAATTAAGAAGCAATTTGTATCAGACATAAATTAATGATTTTTTTTTTTATCCCGTAATATGGGACGATGATTCCGGGAAAATGGCGATCGTTTAATCTTTAATCAACAACCATTGTGATCAAAAAATATATTACTTCAACCAACTTTTGATTCCTTAACTGCTTCTTTAAAGATAGCTTTGGTACCTGCATCTAAAATCAACGAGGTATTATTGCCATAATGATATGTTAATACGGGGCAGTCACTAAATAGCTAAAACTTAACATTGCAAATATCATAAATATTTTTGTTGATGATATTTACATTCTTGAAATGAATTTATTAATTTTAATCCCTCACCTTTCTCGCTAGATTTCCTGCCGAAATCCTCCGATAAAATTCTGTTGATTCCGAATTTAAGATGTTTGGATTGTCCCGTCACCCCCGGGGCCCGGGATTCACTGGTTCTTCGATCCTCCCCATCCGTCACATACCGCTGTACTCTCTTGGTGGTACAAAAGGCTTTCAGGGGCCCGAGAGCGGAGGGGGATTGCTGGCACCCCGGGGGAAGCACGCCCGGCGGGTGACACGACAGTAGGGGCGTGGTTCCGCTGTGTACATGCAATATATCCGTAACGTGAAAAGAGGGTTTCTTCGTAGAAAAATTCAGAAGTCCGGCATCGTGAAAATAGTTGTGTGTCCACATACTGGTGTCTGGGTGGTACTCCGGACAAACCAAACCACCAAGGGTGTACATGTCTCCGGGACACCTCCAGCCGCGTCACTCCTCCACCGCGAGGAGGCACTTCGCAGCTCCTCCCCATCATAAACGTGTTGTCAAGGGGGGAGGGTTTACTGTGATATACAGCCACATTCTGACACCCATATGTGTCTGATTTGATTAGGGGCGAGTAAGAGAAGAGGAGGGGTGTAAAATTGGGGAGGGGGAGCGAGATCTCACAGGTGACGGAGGAGCATTTCTTATCGGGAACGATGTGAAGTTTTAATGAGGGTGTTCGTGAACTCATTGGTCCCGCATCGCTAAAACAAGACCCAATCCTTCCCACTTCACTCGGAACATCCTATATTTATCATTATCAATTCATAACAGATAATTATAACGTATTTGTAGGATTTGAAATAATATCCTCCCACTTAGATTCGTAATTAACCATACTTGCTTTCAGAGCAAGCAATATTTCGTGTCAATTTTCTTTTTTTGCATCT